TCCCCCTCCCCCTTCCTCCTCTACCTACACAGCCAGATTTCCCCAGTGGCCACGAAAGAGGTACTACGTTATTAATTGTCCTAGAGTATATCCACGGCTACTTTTGGGATATACCTTATACGTCAGGGTATAGCAGTACATAGTACGTGGTTCATGGTAAAATTCACTTTATTTTCTTTTCCCTCCCCCACCACCGACCTCATGAGCGTCACGTCCACCTACTCGCGGACGTGCTATATCGTGCTCTCTTAGAGAACTACAGGTACACGCAATATATTATAGGGGTTGATAAAGCGTAGAATGTAGGTTGCTAGAGTAGCTGTTCCTGTTGCTGTTGCACCGAACGTTCGATCCCTCCTTTCTCCAGCCGTTTGCTTTGTACGGTCGGGGTCGCGACATCAGCTCTACTTTGAGGGGGCCAACTTCTTACGAACCGAAATGTAAATGTGTCCCCTCGATGTGGAACTGACGTAGCGGCTCGACTGTGAACTCGTCTCGTCCATTTACATGAGAAGTACGGAGTGTGTCTATGTTCACGCATTATCATATATATTGCGGCGTGACTGCAAGACGCTGCAGGCGACGCGACGGCGCAAGAGGCTCACGTGGGTCTTTCGAGCGTCGATTCATCGAAACGAGACTTAAGAAACATCACCGGTCAATCTCGCGGTTGAGAAATCGAGAGTGTATTGCAGAAATCATGGCGTTACGTATTTCGTTATCAACATGCTACTTGTTCTTATCGGGCGAGAAAATAAATGGCTCGAGGATGTCACCTGGCTGTGAATCAGCTGTTGACGAAATTTCGTTGATTCGATAACCAAAGGGCTGGATCTTTTTTTTTTTCTTTTCTATGGGCGAGCAAAAGACCTTGCGGCATAGGGGGTGGAAGACACCCTCAAAGCAAATACGATCGATAGCCCGACGTGTTCGACTTGGGAAAAACCACAGAAACCCTGTGGTGCCTCGTGGTGCCGTCTTCTATAGACACACATATATATGTATACGCTATACCTACTCCGTTCTACGTATATGCATGCCACAGCCCTATCCAGCCTCGTGGAGGAAAGAGAAGGGCTTTCACAGGCTGTAGCTAACAACACGTCTCGCGGTCCGTTCGGTTTCAGGTTTCAAGCCCAAAAAGCAAAGTGCTATCGATCCCGGCTGCCTTCGCACTTCTGTGCAAGCGAAACGCTTTTCTCTGTCGTCTTTCCCCCCCCCCCC